TTTTTATTGATTTAGAAAAAGCTTACGATAAGGTTCCAAGAGATATCCTTTGGAGAGTTCTCGAGAAGAAATGTGTTGATTTGACTTATATTCAAGTCATTAAAGATATGTATACTAGAGCTGTTACTTGTGTTCAAACTGAAGGAGGATTGACAAAATATTTTCCTATTTCTGTTGGTTTACATCAGGGATCGACTTTAAGCCCATATCTTTTTGCTTTAGTTATGGATTGTCTTACTGGATATTTACAGGAGGATGTACCTTGGTGTATGCTTTTTGCTGATGATATTCTCCTCGTGTATAAAACGAGAGAAAAAGCCCAGGAAAAACTTGAATTATGGAGGTCTACATTGGAGTCTAAAGGCCTTCGTTTAAGTAGAACTAAAACTGAATACATGGAATGTAATTTTAGTAGTAATAGCTCTAGTGACAGAAGTGTGACTTTGGGTGATCAAATTATTAAAAGGTGTGAACGATTTAGATATCTTGGGTCCGTTGTCCAAAGCGATGGTGATATAGATGGGGATGTTAATAGTAGAATTCAAGTTGGTTGGTTGAAGTGGAGGAATGCTTCGGGCCTTTTGTGTGATAGAAAAGTACCGCTAAGGCTGAAAGGAAAATTTTATAAGATGGTGGTGAGACCTGCAATGCTCTATGGCGCTGAATGTTGGCCTTTAAAAGAGAAGCATAATAATAAGTTAAGTGTTGCCGAGATGAGAATGATTAGGTGGATGAGTGGCTTTACACTTAGAGACAAAATGCGGAATGAATATATTCGTGATACGGTTGGTGTAGCTCCTGTGACAGACAAAATTAGAGAAAGTTGCCTTAGATGGTTTGGTCATATTAAACGTCGACCATTAGATGATCCGATTAGGAGAGTAGATGTTTTAAATTCAACTTGTGTTAAGAAAGGCAGAGGTAGACCTAGGAAGACTTGGGCTTATTGTATTAAAAATGATCTTAATTTACTAGAACTAAATGAAAATATGACACTAAATAGGACGCAATGGAGAAAAAGGATTGATGTAGTCGACCCCACGTAGTGGGATTAAGGCTTTGTTGTTGTTGTTGTTACTGTTGTTTGGCTTGATTTAAGTTAAAATCATGGCTAAATCTTGTTAATAGCATGCTACCAAACACCGCCTTAGGATATATGTCATGACTCAAAAAAGAAGCGTCCAAACCAATATGACTAGGAGAAAACTAAATAAGCTGATGTAAAAATAGGATCCTACATATTTTCAACATATGTACTTTAAAGTTTTGCCATACACCAATAGTACTAAGATAAAATCTAGGCGGTGGCCATTCAAACAAAAATCATGGAGCACCATCAAGAGTTGTATAAAATTGAGCTCAACCAATCAAAAATCTAGATTATCATAAGTTAAAAACAGTGGCACTCTAGCCTACAAATCTATAGAGTTATGATTTCTTTTGAGGGTCGATAGGCTCCATCGAGTTGGTAAAAATCTTCATTCTCTTTTATGATACTATGAGAAACAGATGATACAACATAAAGTATAATCAATGGCTCTAATAAGTCATTTATGTACGTGTAAATATGGTATGAATGCTTTAAAATGTTTTAGCATTTTCATGTATTGGTTCTCATTCTTTGCATTTTTTTTGTTTATGAACTCTATTGCTTACTTATCATTGTTAACTAATTTTGTTACATAAATTTTGACAAGTGACTTACCCAATTAATACAATATTATAATTATTATGAGAACAACTAGTTAATCGTGCAACTTAGGTTTTTCTTGCACTTTATTAAGCATATTGCATGGCCTACTCCATTTGATGTTTTAGAAAATTGGTTTGGTCAGTTTTTTTATAGCTTTGTTTTCAAGACCACCATTTGGATACTATTTTCTTGGTGATTTCCTTTTTTTTTTTTTTTGGTGGTGGAAACTGCTGCCGCTTACAACCATGTCTGCTAAAATGTGTTAATTGTAAGAAAATCATTGTCCAACATTTTCAAAAATAAAAATATTAATAATGCATACAACAGCTTCACAAAAAATTGTGTTCCAGCAA